AGAAAAAGATAAAGCTTCTCTTAGCCTTAATTTGGTAGCGCTTGACCTTGGAACAATGGCTCATGATTTTGAAGGTGATGACGCTTTCTTGACTCGGGTATGATATGTCCATCCTTTTTCTGCTGTGTGAACAGCAGTCTCCGTGGTTAGCAGCACAAGGTAGGGTCCTTCCCAGGCTGGCTCGAGTTTTTCTTCTTTCTATTCTTTGATGAGGACGTGCTCCCCAGGCTGCTGCTTGTGTACTGGAAATTCTAGGCGTGGTACCTGTGCTAAAATATTTTTAGTTTGGAGAGAAGGGAAAGTGGAAGATAAACTAAGTATATAATTTCTGAGAAACTGATCTTTTGTTTTAAATGTGGGGGCATCAGCAGTGGAATGTAAGGTATCTTTTTTACTTTACAGTCCCTACTGCCTTTTTGCTAAGAAATTTCTTTTTCCTTATTTTCACTTATGTTGTTTCTGAGGGACCCTTTGGGGCTCCTTATTTTGTCAGAACTCTGCATATCCTGGGGCGTGAGGCACCAGCATGACACTTCCCTCTCCATTCCAGCTCAGCACTGCCTAGGGCACGCTGCAGCTCCACCCCCTCTTAAGGTCTTGGCCTCCCTGTGGCCCTCACCGCTCCCACGCATTGGAGCCTTGGGTATGAGGGGCCTTGTGATTCACCCGACCACCCCGGACCTTGCTCCTGCCCGAGCCCCTGCCATCTGGCCCCTGGCCTTGGGTTGGGCTGGGCTGGCTAATGGCTGCAGCGGCCCCCTCCCCTGCACAGCAAATATCTGTCTGTGGTTAGGTCCTCCAGCCAGCTCACACCACAGCCTCTCTAGGAGCTGCTGGAGGTGGAAACTCGTTGGCATTAAGCCTGAGCTTAGAGGGGCCCGGCCTAGGTTCTTTGATGCAGTTTGAACAAGATTTTTTTTTTTTTTAATAAGGTGTTCAGATAATATTTCTTTTTGGTTTAGTAATATTCCTTTTCCTTTTGAATTTTTTAGCACCTTTTTATAACCTTTTAATGTAGGTAAAAATACATATTCTTATGCCTCCTTATTTTACTACAAGTATATTTTACTTTCCCTACATACTCTGCACATAAACTGTTTAATTTTACATTCAAGATGCCTAAATACTTTTAAATTGTACATTATTTCTTGCATAAATTCTCTTTTATAACTTTTTTGCAACTTTCACAATCACTGACATGCCTCAACTTTTTGACTACCTTTTGCCCTATTTCTCTCCCCAGTCTTACCTTCTGTGTCTTTCTCTGATCTCTGTCTCTTTCAAGTCTTTCACTTATTCTCTCCCTCTCTCTCTCTCTCATTTGGGCTCTTTTTCTGTCATCCCGTTTCCTCTTTCTCTTACACTTAGTCTTCTGCGCTGGGTGGGATCTGCGTGGCCACAGTCCGGGCCCTGGCCACCGCCAGCCTAGAAGCTCGGGAGGTGCCTGCCCCAAGTTGCATGAGTCATGCCCCTTCGCCTCCTTTGTTCTCCTCCTGGGGGCCGATCCCCACCCTCTTCTTCCACGCAGAGCCAGGCTGGGGAGAGGGACCCACCCTCCGGCGCGCCTAGCTGCCTGGCTGCGTGGCACAGGCTCCTGGCCCCAATGCCCTCATACTCCCCCACTCAGCTCCAACTTGCAGGCGTCCATGGCCAGCCGGCCTCCGAGGGTGGTGAGACACACCCGAGCAGCGCACAAGGCGGGGGCTCAGGGACCGGCAGGCTGGGTGGCTCTGGCTGTGCGGGAAGAGAGTGTCCCAGCCACCGCTGCTCTGCCAGGTGCCGGCGATCTGCAACAATGTGGAGCCATACTCACCGCTCTCACTTTCTCTCTGACTTCCTTTCCTAGTTTCTCTTTCCTCTCTGCTGGTCCTTCCCTTGCCTCTTTCTTCTCCCAAGAAGAGGGGAAAGGGAAGTTATGAACATTTTTCCTATGACCGGAAGTTTGTGTGAGGTTCAATCTCCCCCAACGGGGATTTTTCACCTCTTTTTAACCTCCAAGACACCTCGACTAAGGAATACTTCACCCCCCAGGACTCCCTGTGGCTTTTCTTTCCTTAGTCCTGACTATGGAATGCTTTACCTTGATATGTACCAACCAAAGAACGCTTCACCGCCCCGTGGCTTCTTTTTCCTTAGTCCTGACCACCAAGGAAATATTTTACTAGCTCCCATGGCGTTTCCTTCCTTGGTCTGTGCAGAGTTGCCTGGTCCACATGGTATGTGAGGATCTTTTACTCCAGGTCACCAGCGGTTTCTTTCCGCATTGCTGAGACTCCAGTTTATTTGTCACACCTGGTGGGTCTCGATTCCTTAGCTGGAGGCCTCAGTAACAAGGCAGTGGGGCACCTTCCTGGTGAGAGAGGACCAGAGACCACCACCCGCTCCCCACCCCCGCCCCGCCCCCGGAGGAGAATGGCTCCCCATACAGGCCACCACCATTGCTATAAGTAAAATGTTTATTTAGAAACAGAATGCTTGCTCCTCAGTACTGCAAGGAAAAATCAGCATTTAGATTAAAAGTTTTTTCAGCAAGGCAATTTTACTTTCTGCAGAAAGGGTGCTCCTCACAGATGAAACAATGGTGACTGCACACCTGAACAAAGGAGGGAAGCAGTTTTTATTCCTTATGCAGCTTGTCCCTGCTACTGTGTCCTGTCTCTATTGGCTGGAGCTGGACCTCACAATTTAAATTAAACTCTACTGGCTAATAACTTAAAACTTTCCTAAATAGGGAAAGGCAATAGAGAACAAAGAAAAAGAGGAAGTTGCTTGCGAAAGGACTTAGAAAAGTAGTAATATTTCCAAATAAGCAAGGGGCATAGGCTGCGAGCTGGAACGTGCCTGAGAGCATGTCCAGCACAAATATCTTGGTTAAAGTACAAGGACACAGAATATACTTATTCCCTTATATCTAACAGCTACATAGGACAGGGCTTAACAAAGAGTTTTAAGGAGAGGAGGCTTGAAGGAAGTTAGTCTTTAAAAGAAACTATTATTTCTCACTTAACATTTATTCTTTAACAAGAAAGGAAATTTCGAAAAGGAAACTTTTTACTTTCTACAGGCTGATGAGTGCAGTTAATCCTCATTGTTATAAGCATCACTATTATCATCACTTGCAAGAGCCATGTGACAATATTTAGATGATTCTGGGTTCTTTTAAAGTACATACATACTCAGGATTCCTTTGGGAGGATGCAATTTCACATTTATATGAAAAACTGTCACTACCATACTCAGCTCTAATAGTATTTGATATCACTTGGTAATAAAGGTTTGTCGGCTAGGCACAGTGGCTCACGCAGCACTTTGGGAGGCCAAGGCAGGCAGATCACGAGGTCTGGAGTTCAAGACCAGCCTGGCCAGTATGGTGAAACCCCATATCTCCTAAAAATACAAAAATCATCCGGGCATGGTAGTGGGCATGCTACTTGGGAGGCTGGGGCAGAAGAATTGCTTGAACCCAGGAGGCAGAGGTTGCAGTGAGCTGAGATCATGCCACTGCACTCCAGCCTGGGTAACAGAGCCAGACTCTGTCTCAAAAAAAAAAGGTAAATAAAAAATAAAGGTTTGTCATCATATACTCAAAAGTACTTCTGTTATTCAAATCTTCCTAACTGGGAGTTAGAACTATCTCTGATTCTGTTCTTGTAGTTGTCAGAGCATAAAATGCCCTTCCCACTCTTTCCTCATTTCCAGACTCCAAAGCCATCTCCTCCTCAAAGTTTGGCCCATCTACTTTGGACTACTGTTTTCTTACTGAGCACTGACAGTACCTTTTGTTCTCTCTCTCTTTTGGTAATCTCTCTCTTTTGGTAATTCACTATACACTTTCTAGTTTATTTAACTGCATAAAACTTAGTTCTCCACAAGACTATAACTGCCTTATGAACAGAGATCAACACCTGAGAATCTTCAGAGTCTCCTACTACATCATGTAAGAGCTCACTAAATGTTTGATTTAAATAACTAGGCTTAAGAATAATATATTGGCCGGGCGCGGTGGTTCAAGCCTGTAATCCCAGCACTTTGGGAGGCCAAGGCGGGAGGATCACGAGGTCAGGAGATCAAGAACATCTTGGCTAACATGGTGAAACCCCATCTCTTCTAAAAATACAAAACAAAAAATTAGCCGGGGTGGTGGCGGGCTCCTGTAGTCCCAGCTACTCAGGAAGTTGAGGCAGGAGAATGGTGTGAACCTGGGAGGCGGAGCTTGCAGTGAGCCGAGATCGCACCACTGCACTCCAGCCTGGGCGACAGAGCAAGACTCTGTCTCAAAATAATAATAATAATAATAATAAACAGCAGCTAGTTTTGGAGAGTTTACTATATGCCACATCCAGTGCTAAATGCATACGTGGATTATCTTACTAAATTTTCTGAACTCTATAGAGTAAGTGCTATTATTTGAGAAAGAAAGTGAAGCTCAGAATAACTTGCTCAGGGTCATACAGCTAGTAAGTGGCAAAACCAGGGCCTGAATCCAGCAAAGCTCTTAACTACCTCAGAACACTGCACAGTTCCAGCCCTGCTATACTATAGTCCACGAATGATTTCGATTTCACTAAGTTAGCAGTTTGAATTTCAGCTGAGCAGAGACATTTTAGCTAAAAAGTAAAATTTTTAAAAGGATGAATTAAGAGAATTTCCCACAGACATCTTTATAACAAAACGAGGGGAAAAGCCTCCCATGTCCTATTTATGAAAGTGATATTAAGGTGTGGGTCACAATTTCGTCAAGAAGTGGCTTATGACAATACAGCTTTGGTTTAGACATTTAAATAGGACTCTTTCTCTGCCCCTAGGAGGACGTGGAAATGAAGGATGGATGTGATAACTGTCAATTCAGAACTCTGCAAAATGCCAGACTCAATTCTTGTTTTAAGAAGAGCCAGGGCTCTTGTTCCACCCTGGATTCTTCACACAAAACAGCACCATCCTCTGACCTCTTCACACAGAGCAAGCTTTACCCCACTACCCAAAGGGGAGTGCTGATCCACATGGTCTCCCCATCTCCGCTAGAAACTGATCCCAAACACCAGCCGCTGCACAGACGTAGGCTACCTTGGTCTGCAACCCCCGAACTTGGTAATACCTCATCAACCCGACCCCCCCCCAAACATTCAAAATGCCCGGACCACCATCCGAAAGCCAGTCTCTTATACAAAGGAGAATCCCTGCCTACAAAGTAGTTTTCCACCTCCGACTCCTCCCCACAGTGAACAGCCCTTCTGGATCCAACTAACCCACCGACCCCAACAGGGCCCAGCACCCACAGGGTTCACAATCCAGAGGAGCTACAAGCCCTGTTACTCGCAAGTCTCGAGCGCCCAACTCCAACTGACCTTCCCTCTGCCAGAGCAAGAACACCACGAGTACCCGCCGAGAGCGAACCTGGCTACACAAAGCCAGGCGCCCGACCAGAGGGACCCTCGGGGATACCCTCCGCCCCTGGGGCTTCCCCGACCAGCCCCGCCGGGCGCCCCGCGCTCACCAGCTCTCCTCCCCCTCCTCCCAGCCTGACAGACGCTCCAGCTAGTCCAGCAAGCCGCCCTCCCCCGCCGCCAGCAAGGAGGTGGCGTCCCGCAGCTTCTGGTTACTCTTCCGCCTCAGGTACATACGGCCCCGCCGCACGACTCGGCGCTGAGGCCCAAGGGGAAGCCCCGAGGGGACCCCGCGCCGTAGGAGGGAGTGGAGGCGCTGGCGAACCACCCTGCCGGGCCGATGGAGCCGGGGTCCTGCACAGCGCGAGCGGCTCCTCAGCTGTTTGTGCTGCTTCCCCAGCTTCTTCACCGGCTCCTGCAGCTTCCGCACCTCTTGGTCCGCGTTCACGTTGGAGTTAACGTCCTCCATCCCGGCCCGGCTGCCTCCGTCGGCCGCCGCCCACTTGCTCTCGCAGCAACAGGGAAAGAGCCGGAGGAAAGAGGCGTCCCCGCCGCTCACTCCAGCCGAAGCGCCCGCATGTAGCAGGACCAGGCCCCGCCGCCAGGGTCCCCCCAGCGCGGGTCCCGAAGTGCCGCTGGCGCCAGCCGAACCGCCTCCTCGGCGTCGGTCCGGGGTTCAGGGAGGCAGCACCAATATCTGGCCTCTGCCGCCATCGTCCCTCCGCCCCCCGAGAGTCGCCCCTGTAAGTGACCTCAAAGCGTCGGGGGTGGGCGTGGCCGCCGGCGGGCGTTGAGAGAACCCGGCGCAGAGAGGATCACCGAGCTCCCGACAGGGCGGGGCCAGGTGTGTGAGGGGCGGGGATTGGGCCAGGAGGGGCGTGTCCGGACTGCTGGCTGAAGTGGCGCGTTACTGGACGCGCGACTGAAAGTCCCTGCGGTCCCGGAGGCGAGCAGAAGGTATGCCGCGAGCCGGGCCGAGGTGGTGAACATGGTCGGCTTGTGGTTCCCACGGACCAGTCCCGCCCGACTCCGGGCCGGATCTCGAGTGGGCACTCAACGAGGTCCTGGGAGAGACAGTTAACTTGGTTCAGCAAATATTTAACCGATGCCTACTTTTAATTAGAGATTGTCTCCGCTGGCGGGAGCCTCAGAGACAGCCTGTGTCCTCTTTCTTCACCTGAAAGAAACCCAAATTTCAGACAATTAAGAGAGGTCTAAGTTAAAAATAATAAATATAATTTCTTCCTACTGGCCAGATACTATGCTAAGCCCTTTTTTTAATTATTATTTTTTATTTTTGTCGCCCAGGCTGGAGTGCAATGGCGCGATCTTGGCCAGTTGGATCGAGTATTTTCCTAGCTATACAGACCTAGTCAAAGAACGTATTTGTTTGCCAACGTAATTGTCAAGTAATATATATTATCTATATAATGGACATCTAAAAATCATTGCTGTTTCTGACCAGTCTAAGCTTGTTGCCAGAGGGTTGAAAATCATGACTACTGGCCAGTCACGGTGCCTCACGCCTGTCTGTAATCCCAGCACTTTGGGAGGCCGAGGTGGGCAGATCACAAGGTCAGTAGATAGAAACCATCCTGGCCAACATGGTGAAACCCCATCTCTACTAAAAATACAAAAATTAGCTGGGCGTGGTCGCGCACACCTGTAGTCCCAGCTACTCAGGAGGCTGAGGCAGGAGAATCTCTTGAACCCAGAAGACAGAGGTTGTAGTGAGCTGAGATTGCGCCACTGCACTCCAGCCTGGGGACAGAGTGAGACTCCGTCTCAAAAGAAAAAAAAGACTACTTCATGTATAGAAGTTTTCACTGGCATTTAATGCTTTGTGAAATAGATTCCAACTAGTCAGTGTCTGTAAGGAGAACCCTTCCAATATACTCCTTGAAAAGAATAGTTCACTGGACATATGAAGTTAGCACTAATGTTTGGAGCAAGAAGAGCTTGTTGTAGTGTGGAACAATGAATTAAGAATCAGAAAGCCTGATGTTGGGTTCTAGCTGTAGCATAAATGTGCTTTACCCTGATCACTGGTCTCTTAATCTCTGGTCCTTAACTTACTTTAGAATATGTGAGTTGGAGGATCTCCAATATTTCTTCCAGGACCAAAAAGTAAAGGATTCTGATGAGTCCTCATGGTTGCAAAACATAAGAGTAAATATACTTAAATATATAGAGAAGTTCATAGTAGATAGATATACTTGGATTTTTTAATTCAGTTGCCTTACTCAATATGTTACCTTTTTCACTCGATAAATATTGAGCTTCTACCATGTGGCAGGCACCAGTCTAGGTATTTGGATGTTTAATAGGCCTTGTAAGTACAAGACAACTTTCATGGGTTTTTTTTTTTGTTTTTTTTGGAGTGGGGACAGAGTCTCACTCTATTGCTAGACTGGAGTGCAGTGGTGCGATCTCGGCTCGCTGCAACCTCCAACTCCCAGGTTCAAGCTATCCTTCTGTCTCAGCCTCCCGAGTAGCTGGGATTACAGGCACGCACCACCACGCCTGGCTAATTTGTATTTTTAGTAGAGATGGGGTTTCACCATGTTGGCCAGGATGGTCTTGATCTCCTGACCTCGTGATCTGCCCGCCTTGGTGAGTCACCGTGCCCGGGTGACAACTTTTTCAACTCAAACCCACAGGAACACCCACACCTCAAGTCTGCTGGTCCTGTAGTTTCACCATTCCAGTAAATGGCAGCTCTGTTTCTTTCTAGAAAAGAGCTTTTTTGGCCTCCAAGT